TGATAAATGTGTAATTCATTGATAGTTATATTAATATTATTATATGTAATTCATTAAACGGGGCGTGGACAGTGCTGGGAATCTGTTACATCCACACAACTATGTCGACAATGCGTGCAAGTATACATAAATAGTCAATTGTAGTACGTAACGAGATCGTATCCATAGGGTTTTTGGTTTATATTTTAATGATAAAAGCAGATACCAACAATTAAAAAAGTTATACAGAGTTGAGTATGAATATTATCTAGAAGAATTAAAACAAAGGAATAACAGGACGATAGAACGTTGCAAGAGACAACAGTTTCAAGGCTATCGACGCAAGGAAATAGCAGCACAGGAAGCGATAATAGGGGATTAAAAGATACGAAGGTGGCGGGGGAGATTCAGCATACTTTAACACGTTATCAACCTATACTCTAGCGTAACTAACATATATTAGTGCCCAGCTTGACTCGGTTCCCTTCCGAGACACCCCAAACATGAGTAAGTACAACTTCCGTTGCTAAATACCCAAGCAATAAACTCAAGTTATAGGCATGATTAGGGGACCTCATTCCTGAGTATCCCTATAGCTATAGAAAAGCGCTAATCACAAGTAAAACAAGTCAGCACCCACGAGCCCTTTCGGGTCAATATAGAAGCTAGCATACACGAAACATCGGCCAACAGTAGAAGATTTAAGAAATAAATTCAGATTTGCTTAAAAACAAATGTAGCAGCTAGAGATTCGGTCTCAAGTCAGTTACAGCATATGAACCTCCCCCGAAATGAGGTTTAACTCATAATGGGTGAAGAAAACAAAATGGAAGAAGAAGAAATACAACCCGTAGTAGAAAATTAGCTAAATGACAGAGAAGAAGAGCAGTCAGCGCAAAACAGCAGACGAGATTCCCCTTTCTAGCGTCAGCTCTCCTCTCGAAAATGGGTATATTCCCTTCCTTGGTCTTTTCAGCTCTCAAATTTTGTCTCCCTTGGGATCTACGTCCCTGGCGGCTAGGGCAATACACCCCTTTTATATCGGGTTCTAAATTTAGGGCACCCAGCCGAAGATTATACGAACACGGTAAATCCCGTGTTTTTGGAATTAACTGTACGGTCACTCCATGCTTTGGTATCGCTATGCCCCAACTTTTATATGCTCTATCTTGAAAATGCTTTGACTGCTCTTCTCTAGTTCAACACTTCCTTCTCTTCTTAGCGCTTCTTTAAAAATCTGTGCAAATGAACCACAAATACGAGAATATATGCTGTTTTTGGCCAAAGTTTCAAGACTAAGGTATTTAGCTAAGAATTTACATTTTAACACTATTCATGCTAATTATGACCTAAAACCGACACACTTTGACATTTTAATGCACATTTTCAACCAAATAAATACCAGAATAACTCTCTTTTGGAGAGTTATCAGAATCCTCCCCCCATCCCCGCTGGGGACCCCAATTGGGATCTCCGGTTTGACCCCGTCCCCGATCAAACCAGGGATTCCCCGACCCGATCGGATCGAGTACCAGCGAGGGATCGGGTCCCACCGATTTTTTTGCGATCCCTAATTCTAATGTCTTCTCTCTTCCTCTCTGGCCACGCTTTAGAAAACACATATTTTTTTTAGTGCAAAGTTGGATGGAAAAGAATGAATGTGAATTGGACCATTACTTTAAATTCCTTGTGTTAATGGTGACTTGTGGTCGACACTGGTGTCGCACTTCGAGTCAATGACAGTATTTACTGTGGTCTACAATGGTGTCGCACTTATATTTTTGGGGTCAATTGCAATATCTACAATAGTTTGCAGTGGTATCACACTTTCATTTCTGGAGTTAATGTCAGTACTTATAGTGGTGGTGTCATATTCCCATTTGTAGGTTCAATATATATATCTACTGAGGCAGTATCCTCAACGATGCAACAATCGTTCCCCAACTCATTCCATAGAATCAGTAGAACTCATGTCACATCCCTATCTTCAGATAGCCTAATAATACAGACTTGTTTTCAACATTCCTATATGACGATAGGCGTGCAACTTTCTTTTCGTCGAAAAAATGAAAATTCCTAGTAATGCATGGATGAGATGAGATAAAATAGTCGTTATGAACTGACATTTGAGTGACTTTGAAATTGTTGTAGACATTTTTTGGTCTCAATTACCATCATATAAAAATGGTAATTCACCGTTCAGATGTGGTAATTCACTAATATTGTAAAGAATTGGATACAATAAACTTTCCCAAAAAATATCCCCTAGAGGTCCCAACAAAAGTCCCCTAGCTTATAAGGTATTCTAAACCCAATAATACTTAAGTACAAGAATGAAAAAACTCACAGAATAATCAAGAACAATTTACCTCAAAAATATCGATCTCGACCTACCTTTTCTATGATGCCAACACTCGAGCTGCTGCCAAAAATAATGAAAATTAAAAGTTTTCTTTCTTCGTAGGAAACATTGAACATGTCAAAATGAAGAAGTAAAGTAAAAAATTATATTTAATGTTCCTATTTATCCCTTTGATTGTTGTTTTCATGATCTTAACTATTTTGGATTTCTTATTTTATATTTATACTTTTTTATTAATTAATTTGAATTTCTAAATTGATGCGATTAGTTTTGACCAATAATTTTTGTATTATGATATACTGTGAGAGTTGTGTTTTCTAAATTGATGTGAATTTTTTATATAATATTATAAGGGTTTTGTTTCCTAATGTGAATTTTTGTATATAATATTATGACTGTATTGTTTTCTAAATTGAGTGATTATTGACGGCTGTTTTCTTGATCTTTTAACTACTTTTGATATTCCTATAAAATTAAATTTAATGTTTGTATTTATCTCCTTGATTGTTGTTTTCATGAACTTTCGAAATTCTTATTTTATATTTATATTTCTTTTATTAAAAACATGTTTTGTTGATTTAAATGGAGATATACTTTAACGAATTTTAACCCAAGAGATGGTTTTCAGTTCCCACCAAGCTTCAACTAAAATAGAAAAAATTAAACAATAAAATCTTCAATTGAGAGTAACACAATTCCAATTAAAAATAGAAAGAGAGACAACTATGAAAATTACAAAAAAAAATCATATTTATCTCTCTTGACCATTGTTGTTTTAACAATCTTAAAAACTTTTGGATTTCTTATTTTATATTTATATATATATTTTTTATTTTGCAGTGTGATATATTCCGAGTATTTTGTTTATTAAATTGAAGTAGGAGTCATTGTTGTTTTCTTATTAAATCACCGGATGATCAAAGTTGTCCCTCCTCACATAAAAAAAAAAAAAAATTGTTTATAGATAGATTCTTCTTTAATAAATATTCAATTTATTATATACTTCTTTAATTTTTTGTTTTTTATGTTAACCTATAGAATTATTATTAAATATATTTTTATCATTTTTTTCAAAAATCAAACTATTCACAAAAGACCAAACAATTATCTATGAAAATCTTACTTTACAAATTTCATTTGAATTACATTATATGTAATTAAATTTTAATTATCTATATGATGTTTATCATTTTTTTTTCTTTTTTTGTTTTTTTTAATTCATGTCAAAATATTTCATATTTAAACTCAATAAAAAGTTTATTTATTCAGATTTTAAGTTTCACCAAAAAATTTTTTAAAACCACATTGATTCTACTAGTATATATAAAAAACTAGGTCAATCTTAACTTGAGCTTTTGGCCCATTAAATATCATTCCCCATTTTTTCTTGAGAATTTATAGCACGTATCCCTTTTTTATAACCGGTTTTGAAAAATGACCAAATAATCACTAATAATGAAAAATGTACATTTGTATTTTTCTAACTATTTTGCAGGTTTGTTTTTTATACTTTTACCCTTCTATTTCGTTATTATTTTTAAAAACAAAATATCAACTTCAACCACTATTGTTATAAACTTGATAAGTGGACACAAGCGATGGGGCAACACAACGCGTTGGGTCATAGAGCGTATTGCAAGGAGAGAGAGACCTGTATGTTGAGTTTCTACAAATTGCTTTTTGGTTTGAGGTAGAGTGCTTTGATTTTTGTATTAATTGTTCAAAAAAATACACCTTATTTCTTCAAATTATTTGTTCCGCCATTGACGTTCGCCGTATTTGTTCCGTCGTTCACCTTCGCCGTATTTGTTCCGCCGTTCACCTTCCCCATATTTGTTCTGTTGTGCACCTTCGCCGTATTTTGTTCTGTTGTTCACCTTCGCCGTATTTGTTCCTCCGTTCACCTTGGTCGTATTTATTCCTCCGTTCACCTTATTTTGTTTATTGTTTACATTTTACCTTTTTTAGTATAATTTTCAATAATAATTTTCTTGTTTAAATTTTGTTTTAGATTTTAATTTAATGAATATTTTTGTTAGTATAATTCTCCTAAAAATTGGTTAAGAAAATTTTGAATTAGAAAATATAGACAAGATTCTAAAAATATTTGAATTAACCTATAATAATGGTACGAAAAATATAGGTAGGATTCTTCGTGTGAAAAAGGAGAAATAATATATTAATTTTAAAACATTTTAGGGAGGGTAATTTTGTACTTAGAGATCTTGCTGTTTTTACTATGGTTATTATTGAAAATTAAGGTTGTTTGGCCATTTTAAAAAATTACCTATTTTAAATAGCTAGTATTACCTTTTTTTTCTTTTAGTTTATTTTGTATTAAAAAAACACAATGCTATTCTCAACCGTAAATATTTTCAAAGGTATTTTACGATATCACAAATATATACTCCCTTGAATTTTACCCATGGACATTATTGCAATTTATAAAACTTTTGGGATTTGCCTATTAATTTTTAGCCAAAAACAATATATATATTTGCCAATTAACCTTGGCTATTTTTGTAATTTTAAATTCTTTCTTTTATGAATCAAACTTGAAAGGCCCATTTAGTTCCGGCCCACTTTCCCCAAAAACCCAACCCGATATTATTCTGCCAAAATAAGAACGAACGAACTCTCTAGGGTTTTGCGAGCCGAATTAGTAGCCGCCATAGCAGGGCCTTCAAAAGCTTTTACTCCCACCATGAACCAGCGTTCTAATCGGCTCTCTCCGGTTCGTCATTCAGGTTCTACGTTCTAATCCACTCAACATTTTGGAATTACGCAGCCATTGGACCTACTAATTTCCATTGACATGTACGATTTCTGTTCATTGTTCCGCGATTCTTTTTCTTTTTCCGAGTCAAAGCGAAATCTGATTCGCTTTCTGTATATAAATCTTCGCGTAGTACACTGATCGAGGACATGATGTTGAACAAGTAAAAGGTCTGAGAAGGAAGATTGTGTAGGTAGAGACGATGTTTGAGGTGGAGGGAGGAGAAAATTACAGAAGAGGGCCCCTGTTCTTGCGAGAGCGATCGCATTTTGAACATTCGCAACCTCTTCTACAGAGAATGTTCTTACTTCTTAAGAGCAAGAGCAACGGGTATGAATAAAAGGCGTGGGTTGCATTCTAGCATTGGATGATAACCTAGACTTCGCCCGACATTTGTTCTTCTGTAGCATCTCCCTCTGCTTCAAACATTTGTTTTCTACTTGCGTTCTTCCTTCATTGATCATGCCTTCACACTGATCCTTCTTCATTTTTCTCTTCTGTAGATCCTTAGGTCAGCCATTGGTTTTAGGTTTCTGGTGTTAAAAATTAAGCTTCAGTATGTTTTCCGTAATTTCTGCAAACAAATTGTTAAATTTTTAAAAATTAAAACTAGTTTTGAAAACCACATTTTGTTCTTCATTTTTTCTTTTGCGTAGATCTTACGGTGAGGTTTTGTTTACTACAATATGTTGCCAATATGTTCCGTGGTGGGGTTTCGAACTCACGAGTTGAATATTAGGGATGGTTTGGTTGAGAAAGTTATAAAAATATTGTAGGAAAATACTTTGGCTTACAGATTTTTTTTGAATAATAACGAGTTGCCTAATATTTCATTGTTGCTTTTTTTTTGTCAAATATTGTATTTAATGCTTCATTGTTAAGGAGCCGCAGTATTTTTCAAAATTATAAATAGTCAGGTACTTTGGTTTTTGTTTTCAATTTTTAAAAATTATGCCTATTATTAGTTTTTTTTTTTAAAGTATGCTTTGATTTTTGTGGTATTTTTTTATTATTCTTACAAAAATATTTCAGTTTTTAGTCCAATTTAAAAAGTAATAACGTGTTTCTAAACACCGATTTGGATTTAGGTTGAGTGGTTGGGAGGAATTAGTCGAATCACCTCAAAAAAATCGCCATGATGAGAAGTTGAGTTTTAGAACATTTTAGTTGGGTATGACTAAAAGGTGTGAATTTTTTTTAGAGCTCGATTTTTGCCCACAACCCATTTGATTGATGTCATGAAGGATGGATTAGTACTTCTCTATGCCAATGTAAATCTTTTGACGTGGGTGTGACCCCTCCATTTAGGCCCCACTTGACTTCGAGCTTTTACTATTGGTCGTTGCGATTATGAGGTATATTAGAGATTCGAAGGTCTCCGTTTTCCATTTTATAGCGTTTATGTTGTAGGTCAACTTGAGATAGCAAGAATGTATAGGAGCCATTAATATGGACAACTTTTCTCCGTACACAAACAAGGCTCAATGCTCAAGTCGGTTCATTTTCCTCACCCGTCCCATACTTATGATGATGAAATTTAGGGCACACTACTTAGTGGTCTCAATATTCTTTATTCTATTTTTGCAAGTTTGGGATGGTGCGACTTCTTGTGAAGTATTGGTAGACAACAATACTTGGGGATAGTGATCATAATTTTTTCTTTTACTATGGAAGAAAAATTTAAAATTCTAACCCTTCAAAAATAAAACAAGCATAATCTAAATCATCTTTTAAAATAAGATTTTTCCATAAAGTTTTAGTCTTCCAAAAATTTAAACAATCTCTTAGGTTATAAAATTTTCTTATGCATCAAAATAAGGTATTTAGAATTTTGTGTTGAATAAAGCTTAAGAGAGCCAACAATGAGGTTTAATTAGCTTCTCAATTTATAATTTATCATTTATTCATAAGAGCAAATAAAACCGAACTATTATCACTACCATCAACTATCATTGTCTATCCATTACGAAAAGAAAACACATCACTCCAGTTTTGAAGCATGCATTGTCCCCAAGGTTGCTTCTCACATCTTATCATATTGGGTAAGGCATTTTACCCTTGCTACCCTTCTCTGTCATTTTCACGGGTCATGTTTGGGAAATTAAAAAATTAATTTTAAGAAAGTTTAAAATCATTTTCAATTAATTTTTAAGGTATCATTTTGATGATGATTTTGAAAAATCAATTATACTTAATTTTTTTTTTTCAAAATCACTAATCCTACCGTTACTTTCAAATATTTTGGTTGAAGGGCTAATCCTAGGGTGTAGACTTGTAGTTGCTACTCATAATTGCTTTGTGTGCTGCAGTTCCTCATCCAATCCCCACACCCACTCGACCTCTACATGTATTTATAATCAACAAGGGGTGATCAAGGTCGCGATTGTTGAATAATCCGACCCACATCAATAGCTTTGCCTGTGACAATAACATAGACAAGTACTAATCTTTCGTGACGTCACTCACATGGGTTGTGGGCAAAGGTCTATTACTGCGAGTTTTTCATTGGGTTCCTGGCTTACGTAGCATCGCGATAACTTCATCATAATCCAATCCATCGTTGCATAAGTCATGTACTCATCCTAATCAATATCTGGTAATCGATATGATCGAAAAATCAAGAAGGCCATTGTTTTGCTAAACCTTAGAGCTCCAACTATTTTAAACTAGAATAAAATTCTTGAACAATGCAAATTGAGGTGAATTGAAGAACTCCCAACTTCTTGCTTAATATTCCTGAAAATATTTGATTAGTCTTACGTGGCAAAGTTGGTAGCCCCCTCTCTAATACAATACTTCTAACAACTAAATTCATATAAGATTAGGTATTTGAGAGGTATTCTTCGAGAACCATCTTTTTTAAAAAAATTATTCTTATTTTCTATGAAAAGTTGGTTTGAACACGGATCGAATGGTTATTCCAGAAAGCTAATAGACTTCAAATCGTTCTAATTCTGTTTGTTTGCTCGTATTCTCTTTGTGGTTTCTTTCAACTGATCTCTTTGCATAAGTATGCATATTAAGATCTCGGTCACTTCAGAAGCCTCAGCAATCAGTTTTTAGGTCAAATTTAGTAATTGATCATTTTGTCAACCCTTTGCTTTCTGTTCATTAGTTTTCAGTGTTGAAGTTTGATAAGCACCAAGGTTGCTCGTGTTTACAAAGCTAGAGGTCCTTCTAGGATCCTTGCAAACATTCACAAAAACGACTAACTTACCGAATGATTCCAACCAAGAGTAAGGTTAGAAGATGAATCA